AATAATAGTGATAGATCTCAAGTTTCTTTTTTTTTTTTTTAAATCTGACTACGGTACATGGAAGCCCAAACCTGGACTAGAAATTTGGTTGCAGTGATTCAATCACATATCCCAAAGTTCCAGAGTCCCAGTCACATGGAGACGAAGGGCGAGCTTCACTGTCTAGATGATAAGTTGCATTTATATGTAATGTTCATATTTTAGGGTCACTTATTTTCTATCTTAAAAATATACTATTTCCAGTTCTTAATATAAGACCCAATTAGCTAGTTTGAGGAGATTAGGAAAATTAGTAAATTACTTAATTATAACAGATGTTATATGATCTCTTTAAAATACTTATATGCATCATGAGATTATATATCAATTTATAAGCAAGGCAAATTAATTTGGAAAAGAGCAATATATATAAAAATACTTTAAAGTAATTTAGTAACTTTCTTAATATTTTTAAATTAGTAAATTGGATCTTATATTAAAGACTAAAGTAGTATCTATTAATCGGGTCAACACAAGGTCCAATTCTTCATTTTCCTAATAATTTCTTAATGTCCTTGTGTATTAATTTCACTGAGTTTGGATATATTTTGCTTGGAACTAGATTGAGTTGTTTGACTGAGCTAGTGCCAGCACTTACATCCAGAACAGTGTTCCTTTACTAGTTAATAGTAAAGAGAAGAAAATGAAAAGATGATTGAATAATTGCTAAACATTTAAGAAGAGCTATTGAGAATTGCATAAAATTTGTGGTAACCAGGTAGCAAATATTTTTTATGTAAATGAATTGTATAAAATTTGTTGTAACCAAGTTGACAAACTTCTAAGCTTTAAGTTGGCAGGATAATTCTTTGACTGGACTCACAGCATTCTTTAGTAAAAGGTGAAATAATAGCTTTGAGATATATCTTCTTTTATTCTGTTATGAATATTGGAATTTTCTCATTGCTAAATCAATTTTACATAATTATTTGTTGGAGTATTTTTATGCCTGCACATTAAATTCTAATCATTAAATGGAATGAATATTATTGAAAAAGTGTCATAAATTTTCTATATATTAATTACAAATAGTCATCTTAAATTTTTTTAGATGCTACAAATAAGTTAAAAGAACCTTATATTTAGGTGTGGAAGTATGTGTTTAATACTTTAATAGTTTAATTTATAGGAAGTCGCTATTTATAAAATGACTTATTTGAAGTTAGTGCAGTATCAACAATAATTAAGTTAAATGAAAACGTATTTTCTCATTTTCAAATTTGTATTAGAAGATGACTATGGGAAAGTTTTCCTCATTTAAGGGTCAAAAGACAAAAGTCAAAGAATCATCAACTAAAATCCAAATTGGTAATCGTGCTTTGCTACCCAAATCCTATTTTTATTCTAATTCCAAATTTTTTTTATCGAAATCATTCTTATTTAGTGCACGTATTAATGAAGTTTTTTTTACTAAGAGATGATTTTAATGCACATAATTAAATAATTCAACTTAGGAAAATCAAAATATATTTGTTATAAATTACCAGTTATGAGCAAGAGGTGGCGAATACCAAGCTTATCCCTTTAATGAATGAATTGTCATTTGAGGCAGAGTGATTCTCGTTTTATGGGGACATAATATATGAAAAATAAAGAGAAAATCATGTGTAAGTTTTATGCAGAACCAATGTGACTTATATACTGGCTCAAAAACGAAAATTTAAGAAATCAAGAAATATCCCAACAAATGATGGATTTTATTTTATTTTATTTTATTTTATTTCCAACAAATGACGGATTTATTGCTACTACAAACAACTGCCCCTATTTCTGAAAATCAAGAGCCCGCTTGGGAGAGTGAAAATCTAACGATGGAAAAAAAATGTTGATTTTCTATCAATCTTGTGCATTGAGTGGCAACATTTTTCCGCAACCCATTTTTCAGCGGCAGTAGATTTTCCACTGTGCAAGGAAAAATGAGTTCCCACTTTTGGTGGGAACCCATTTTCCATCACAAGCGGAAAAATACAAAAGACTAAATTGTCTTTCAAATTTGAATAAAATGCTCTGATCAATGAAATCATGTGAAGTTGTTTGAATACCTAACGTATCATTGAATCTTCATCTTTGCCATATGTTTCTCTATTTTGTCACTGTTGAGTCGCTCAACTAACCCACATGGATTGACCAACAAGTATCAAGCTTCATTAAATAAGTTTTTTTAACAACATTTGCCTCAATAAAAAAAAAAAAAAACCTCTATATAAACTAGATATGATTTTTCAAATCTGATTCAAAATCTGGTAAGAAAAAACATTTCTTGCCCTTGCTTACCTTTGCGATCATAACTTTAAAATTAAAAAATGTTTTTAAATGGATCTTGTTGAATTGAAAACTATATTTGGACAGTTTTTCAATGATAGGTCGTTTGTCTAATTTAAATTTAAACTGAAAAAGTTATATATAATCAAAAGCTATTGTGTTGAAAGCATAAAAAGTAGAACGTAACATAAACTTAATAAATTCAAATTTTGCGTGAAAAATAAAAAAGTATCGTGTATAAATTGAAATTTGTTGATAAAAATTTGAATTTACATTAATAAATCTGTATTTAAACGTTAAGCTATGAAAGAAATGAACATATTCGAATTGATTGAAAAAAAATTAAATTTATTGCATCAAATTCAAATTCGTTTGAGTAGATTCGAATTTGACATTTGCTCACCATCTTGAAAATAAATTTCAAAATACAAAATTTTTTTAAATGGGTCTTGTTGTATTAAAAATTAAATTTCAAGGGTTTTTGCAATGATAAATCATTTGACTCATTTAAATTTAAATTAATAAATGTGTGTCATCGAAAAATTCACATTTTATTCGACTTTATTTATGTCCATTAGATTTATAGATTATTTGGTTATACTTCCTTCTTTTCTTTGCTTATGAATTATATTTTATTTATTTTTTATTTCATTATTTTTAATAATTTAATATTTATTGTTATTTTTATATTTATATTTATATTTACTTAAATTATAATATATTTTTATTATTTTTTTAGTTATTGATTTTTTAATAATAATATTATTATATAAGGTTAAAAATCATTTTTGCTTAAAAATATTATATTCTTTCATTAAGGGTAATACAATAAAATTACACAATTTTCTAACTCATTTTCATCCAACTAAATATAAAATTTTTCATCAACTCTTTTTTCATTCTAATGCTTACCAAAAATATTATTACTTAAAAATTTTTCATTCTATTCCTTTTTCATTCCAATCAATTCTTTCTGCCAAACGGGCTCTAAGGACTAAGCAAATAACAGCACAAAGACTAACTCCTAATGAAAGAATATAATACTGATCAATTTACCATTTCACCCTTACATGTTAGTTTTTATTTTTATTTATATATTACATAAATTAATTTACATTTTAATTCAAATTACATAATTTAATAAAAATGCAATATTGTTATATTAATATGTGTATTAAACAATTAGTACAGTATTTTTTACTCTAATTAGCATGATAACATTTTAAATAGGGAACACCATATTGAAGGTACCTATACTTTCTCTCAATTTTTAATTTGGTACCTATGTATTTTTTCCCTTTAAATAAACATTTAATTTTATCTTTTTAGTAACATTAGCTCTTATAACTTTATTCTATTGATATTTTTAGTCTCTACATAAGGATTAATGATGTTAATAGAGCAAAATTAAAGATTTAGTCAAGAACAAAAAACACATAGGTACCAAATTGAAAATTGAAAAAAAAGTATAAGTACCTCCAATATGGTTTTCCCTTTTAAATAATCAAATTAACAAATTTACTTTGCTTTTAAAAAAAATAAAATTTTTAAAATCTTTTTGCTATGTTTTTTCTTCTTGCTTTAGAACATATTTTAGTTAATAAAATAATATTTTTGTAAAAATTAATTAATTTATAATAATATAATTTTTCATGGTAATAATTTTTATTATCATATTTTTTATTATAATAATACATTTTTATTTAAAATTATTTTTATAATAATATATTTTTTATTTTTTATGAGCATTAATGAAATATGAAAAATAGTAAAATAGTAAAATGGTCTAACATTTTAACTAACCTCCTAAAAGCCCCAATTGGGAGTGAAGTTAAAATGAGGGAAGATTTTTGGGGGGGGGGGGGGGGGGTTTGCTCTCCTCACCTCCAAAATTTCTAACCAAACAAGGGGAGGGACCTATTTTCTTTTTTTCTCCACCCTCCCCTCCAACCAAACAGGTCCTAAATAATTTTGAATTTGAGCTCACCTTCAACGAGTGTCACCATCACCTTTCAACATATTCATCACGCTCTCAGATAAATATTCATACAGCATTTCCAAAGAATATACAACATAGCATGAAAATGTACACACAAATAACTAAATTCACAAAAATTTTCAATCTCCATCCAAAAGCATAGTCATACTTATATATATATGGAGGAAACAAAACATCCAAAAACAAATTGTGACATCATAATGGAATTTGACAGATAAAACTAACAATGTCAACTTTTCATGGAAGTCCCCATTTCTAAACAAATGTTACAGCTTAAAATGTCAAAGGCTAATGTGAGAGGGGGGGAAAAAGGTTGGAACTCAACCAAAGCAAAAAGAAAATGCATTTGTTATTTCCAAATAAAGACAGCAAAAATACAGAAGGCAGAGTAAACAAATAGAAGAACCATATCCATAATGGAAAGATGAATCTGGCAGGCGCAGAGGAGGGAAAGGAAAAGTACAAAGAATGTGATTTTTTATTCAGAGCAATGAAAGAGGAAAAAAAGGCATCAATTACTTTCCTTGCTTCTCATACAAGATAATTAAACAAGTGATATATTATTCACCCAAAAAAAAAAAACATTGGTATGCTCAGAGAAAAAACAGGCCCCGAGTTATAGTTACATCTAGTGTTTCATCATTCTAGATAACATCTCCAAAAGACATCATATATTACAGGCACAAGAAAATCCAAACTATTAGAGATTCCTTTCCATCAAAAGTACTTAAACAACGTAAATCTGGAATGTTTGACAGGGGTTTTTCCCGTTTTACCAAAAAAAAAAAAAAGGAAAATCTGCAATGTAATAATTAGGTTTTAGAATCAACGGTAGGTGCCAAGTGATACCAAGCTCTCCACATAATTCCACATATTACGAACATAGCCGCATTTGGGAATATCAAACCTCTTAGCATCATTAGTAGTAGGATTCAACAGATATAGAACATGTCTTCCTTTCACATCATCCTCTTCAGGAAAAGCTTCGCAGACGATCTGGTTCCTCCAAACAGTCATTGGATATAACATGTATGGACAAGGACTGCTAGTATATATTTTACTCCAACTCCATCCCTCCCCAGATGCACAATTACCTTCCTCCATCACCCACAAATCAATCCAATCAGAGCTTTCATCATCTGCATCCCAAATGTTAGAAAGCATAGCAAGCTTATTCTCATAAACAGTAAGCCTTTCACTTGCATTATAGTCTAACTCAGGCCTTGGCAGCAATGTAAAGACTTCCTTTGCTAGTTCAAATGAAACTATCACCTCTGTATCATCCTTCTCCTCTGCACCTAGTTTTAACCCAGACCAAAATATAGCTCCATTAGTTGTGACACTTCCAGCATAAAGTTTAACCCCCTTCAAGTTCCCAATATCTATTCCTTTCCATGTCCCTCTACTTAATGAAAACACTTCCACTCGATTAACCGCATCACCAAACTTGGCATAAGTTCTCACTATCTTGTAATCATTAGCAACTGCACTGAACCCAAATCCGACCTCACATTTATTAGAGTCAGAATAAGTTCTTCTAGGCACATATCTAAACGCTCGATTCGCAGGATTCCACAATAAAAGGGAAGGAGGAAATTTTTTATCACGATTGATTTCAACAGAAAGCAAGCCGTTGCAGGAACCCACAATCATAGCACCATTGACGGATTTGCTCGAAGGGGCATTTTGAACTTCATGGAGTTGTAGCCTGCAATCAAGCAAACACAAGCGCAAAGGACTCCGTTCTAAAAGAAGAGAAAGATTTCGATGACCGAAGTGGTGAAGGTGGTCTGCAACAAAAGATCGAGTTTTGATGAGATTTTTCCACTGTTTGCACACACATTGAAATCGAAGCAGGGACTTCACAGGAAGCCGTTTGAGAATATTTCTAATGATTTCTTCATGAAGAAATAGAGTCTTGCTGTCCATTCCCTTTTGATTCCTAAAGCTCGACCGGCAAGAACAGATCTCTCAGTCTCAAGAAAAGCCCTTACAAGAGAACTCTATAGATCTTGATAATATTAGTTGGCGAAAATTCACAATCTTTCATCATGTTCCATATTTCTTCACGTGACAATGCACTGCTGCTTCCAGTTATCCCAACACATAACTTGATACTGAAAAATCAAATAATTATAAGAAAGTGTGAAGAAGACAATTTGAATTCAATTCGTCGAGAAAATTTCATCAAGTTCCAAGAAGATAATATGCCCACAAACGAGATTTCCCATAATAATTCAAGAGGCAAAAATAGCACACTCGAGTGTGGTTTGCAGAATGATTGCCACAATAACATCATAAATAGCAAAAACTTCACAGAAGATCAAACTGAAACACCAATGCAATAAAAGAATAATACATCAAGCAGAGTACATGATTGTATTTAAATCGATAACACCAGCATCAGTAAGCTTTATCCAGGCAATATAAGAAGCAACTTAATTTTCACAAGATTCGATTCAAACTTTCTTCTATTTAAATAATCCAAATTCCAAAATGATAGACTTAAATATTTGAATTTAAAAGACGAAAAGAACTTGTCTGAGGTATGCAAATTAAGTAGCAAAAAAAAAAAAAAACACTAATTTCATGACCAATGAACTGAGTCTTGCTAATCTGATGGTTCAACGATCATCATGTCTGATTTATGTTTTCTCCAAGTGAGGAAGTTCATTGGTGATAGATAATTACTGACTTAACCAAAATTTTATGAAAACTCTTGTTTGGAGATTTGCGTCTTCTAATATCATCATCAGTCAAAGAACTTTTAGCATATAAAGCATCCGACCATTGCTCAACTTTATTGATTAAAATTTCATAGGGAAGGGACAACTATGGAGAGAATTTCTATTGTATGGCCCCCCTGAAGCAGGAAAGCATATTTAGCAAAGGCGGTAGCCACAGACGCAGACTCACCTGGAGAGAACGAACTCAGAGATGACAAGAATGACGATGAGACTGAAGAAGACTATGGGAGAGATGGCGGAACCATGGACAACGATAGAGCAGGCGGCGGCGGCGGGAGTAGGGAAGCGGCCAAGCACACTGCGTGAAGAAAGAGTGGCTAAGAGTGAAGCATAAAGGCCCAAAAAAAAAAAAGGGAAGAAGAAGAAAGCAAGTTAAAATAAATCTTTTTATCTTAACCTTTTTTTGGGCTTTCGCCAACATTTCTGTCTTAATTGACTTATAGCTTGCTAATTTTTTTTATATTTAAAATAACGGGAAAATGATTATATCTTGTGAAAATCAAAAAGACAAAAAAGGAACTCAAATAAGTAAAATGCCCAAACAGGCATTTCATGTTTTCCTAAAGTGACTAAAATACCCATAAAATGAGAGAAAAAGCAGCTAAATATGAAAACGAGAACAGAGTAAGACATTGAAACTACATGTGAAGGATGAAAACTGAAAATAGAAAGTTTAGAGCAATACATTTATTGTTAAAAAGAAAAAAGTGTGAGTCATTTATGTTTCGAAATGAAAAAAAATTCAAAGATTCTTCACGCATTGAATTAAAATCAAACATGTCACCTGTTTTAATGAAAATAGGTTGCTTTCACTAAAACAACCCACCATAATAACTAAAAAGAACGACACCTATAACAGTAGTAAATATTAGATAGATTAAGCATATAGCACTGGTGTACAAAAATGCATTGTCTAACCATTGTTATGATATTTGACTTGCTATTGTATACAGAATTTGTTTACAAATACACATTTAATCACTGTTATTGTGTAGTTATTTCGTCCATTTTTCATTCATTTGCATACAGTTTCACTAGATTTGTAACTTGCATAATGAAAATTAGCATTTGCTTAATGGAATTTGAAACATGTTTCCAACAGATTTTCAGTCTGTTTTCAGGAGATTTGCAATTTGTTTATTTGAAACCGTTTCTATTCCATTTGCTCCCAATTTTACTAAACATGTAGCGTGAATAACAACTTACTAAATGAAAGTACCAATTTTCGTAACAAGTTTTGCAACCTGTTTTTAATCCATTTGCTCAAAATTTTACTAAACATGTGGTGTGATTCATAGCTTGCGTAGTGAAATTTGATGCTTGCTTAATGGGATTTGCAACATATTTTTAGGAAATTTGCAATTTGTTTATTTGAAACTATTTTTAATCCATTCGCTCATAATTTTACTAAACATGTAACGTGAATAACAACTTGCCAAATAAAAGTGACAATTCTCGTAACAAGTTTTGCAACTTGTTCTTAATCCATTTGCGCACAGATCTTATTAAACATGTTAATAGGATTAACAATTTGTGTGGTGAAATTTATCACTTGCATAATGGAATTTGCAACTTGTTTATTTGAAACCATTCTTAATCTGTTCTTTAAGCACACAATTTTATTAAATATGTAAGGTAAACAACAACTTGTGAAATGAAAAGTGACAATTTTCATAACGAGTTTTGCATCCTTTTCTTAATCTATTTGCATACAATTTTTCAAAACATGTAGTAGGATTCACAACCTGCAACAAAAAACTAGTGAACAAAAAATCAAACCGAATCGGCTAGTTCAACCGAAAAACCGATGAACCGGTCAGTGGTCCGATCGACTTAAGAATTGAACAAGCCACAAGTTGAACCAGAGGTAGTCAAACTGGGAGTGAACCGGTGAAACTAGTAAAAACGAACCGATTTGAATAATTTTATTGCTATTGATCCTATTTTTTCTCATTTAGCTCCTAATATCTCATTCATTATGAATTTGAATGATGATTTTAGTATCAATAATTATTAATTTTAATTATTAAGGAACTATAAAGATCAAAATTCTTAATATTATTATACTTTGTTATTGTTAAAATCAAACTATTATTGTATTTTTTTGTATTTTTTTATTAGTGATTATTATTGTTCTTGTATTTTATCATTTTTAATTAAATTATATTATTTTAATATGACTGGTTTGATCCCAGTTGGACCTTGGTCTGACCCATTGACTCTTGAACCACTACCTCAACTGGTTTAATGTCCGGTCCAATTTTTTGTTCCTTGCAAACAACCATAAATCAAAACTTTAGTTCTCTAACAATTAATTTTCATCAATATGCGTGACATTGAACACACACTCTTCTTCCATTGACAACTCTAGCATAGGATTTCATAATTAGAATATTGATTTTAACAACACTAAGCAGTTTATGCTTATTATTTGCACGTAATCCTCACAGTCACATAATCACTTGCCACCATTTTTTTATTTCTGATATGTCTGTCTTTCATTCTCATCAAATACTCAATTTAAACCCTCCTTACCAACAAAACTAACCCCATCTGACGTTGAAGAAACCACAAAAATGAAGAACTCAAACCTCATCATTAACTTCTACCCACTTACATAATACTGCACATTCTCTCCTTCTCCTACTACAAACCCACTTACCCACAAGCAAAACCCATCCAAATGAACAACATCTGCAAAATGATGATGGTCGAAGGAGTAGGATAATAGCATTTTGAAAGATAAATGACTCACATTTTCCTCTTTCCAGCATTAAACGTGTTACTCCAAGCTTTCTCTTTTCAACTTTCATCCTTCACGTGTTCTTCAATGTCTTGCTCTGTTCTAAATGTTTTCACAGTTAGCTGTTTTTTCTTTCACTTCATGGGCATTTTAGTCACTTTAGCAAAACATGAAAATCCCATATTTATACCTAATAACCATTTGGGTATTTTACTTATTTGAGTTCCTTTTTTGCCTTTTTAATTTTCACAAGATATTTCATGGTCATTTTCCCTTTAATAATTTAATTCTTATTATATAAAATTTATTCTGGGTGAAAAGACAAAAATCCCCTTGCATTTGGAGAATGAGAATTACCTTATTTTTTTTTGTAAATCGCCTAATTTCAGTTGTTATTCACTAAATATTTACATTTAGAGGTTGTGAATTTGTTTATGTTCTTTGTAAATCGTTAAATTTTAATTGTAAATTATTGAATTTGAGTTGTTTATTTACACCTAAATATATGTATTTGGAATTGTGAATTTTCTTATGTTCTTTGTAAATCACCGAATTTGAATTATAAATTATCGAAGTTGATTTGTTTATTTACACCTATTTATCTTTACTCTAGGATTATGAATTCCCATATAAACAACTCAAAGGTGGCAATTTATAAGAATTTTTGTTTAAAAAAAATTAAATCACAGAGATCTTTATCTTTTCATTAATAAAATTTAATTTCATCTAAAAAATTGTGTAGTGAAATCTCATAATTTTGTGTGGGCTATTGGAAATTAATTGTTTACTGTGGGAGCTAACTGAAATGTTCCCAAAAAAATTAAGTCACTATTAAAATTTTCCTTTGGTTAATGATTAAAAAAATATTAAATTTTAAATAAATAATAATTCAAAAATAAGTCTTTAAATACAAGCTTATTAAATACCAAATAAATAATATTAACATAAATTTATTGAATTTGTTGGCAAAAAATTTATTGACTTTAAGGTGATAATCGTTTTGAAACAAAACTAAAGCTCCAAACTGTTAATCTTTGCTTATATATATGAATAACAGTTTTTGACTTAAAAACTATGCACGAAATGATAATAATTAATAAAACATGTGAACTAGTAAACTTCAAAATAAGAGTTCTACCTAATGTAATATTCCAAATTTTAAGCTTAGAAACACCAAAATTAATCTAAAATGAACAGAATACCAGACTTTTTTTGACAGAACTTCCTTGGAAGGACGAGAGGATTTCTAGAGACTAAATCCCAAAGTAAGAGTTTTCTAAAACAACGAAACAAACAAGTTAGAGACTCTGATGAAGTCTCAAAGACTCAAGTATGAGAATTGAAAATGATTCTTAGTGAGATGATTCCTGATGCTAAATTTGAGCAGGAATTTAATTATAAATTCAGAAAGTTTCGAGCCAAAAAAAGCAATGATGGAAAGTACACTCGAAAATTATAAAAAAATTTCAAAAATTCTATAAAAAAGGGAAATGAGATTCGAAGACCCATATAAGGAAAAAAATAATAAAAATACCCCTAAAAAATGATTAAATTCCTAGAGTTTTGGCTAATTACAAATACTAGTCAGAATTGAATTATTTAAAATATGAAGACGTCTCAGATAATTAGAAAAAAAAAAAGGGAATAATGCTTTAAGAATTATCACAAGTTTTAAAAATGATTTCATTCCCAAAAAGCAAAGAAGTTAGTTTTAACAGAATTTAAATCTTATTTATACATCATTTGAGGAAAGTCAAAATAAACCATCTATGAATTGACTTTTGACTTGAGAAAAAATTGGAGAAATTTTCCATGATGAAAAGGTAGTATTGGTACCTAGAGACAAATTCTCAGAGTCATGGATCGGTAGAAAGCAATCAGTCAAATTACTCCGAATTAAATATTATTAAACATTTTAATGAGGGAAAAAAGGGAAGAGCATCACTCACTCTTTAAGCATGATATATAATGCCATGTGAAGTTATTTGGGATGAAAAAAGGGTATCAGAACATGTCCTAAGGTTATCAAGTAAGTCAAAACTTGAAAAAGTACCAAATATAATATAAAATTGTAAAATAGATGGAGAAATAGTTAATGATAAGAGGGAACATGCATTTTTTCTATTTTCCCCCTATTTTAATCCAATTTGACGAAGGGACATGGATAGAATTTTACAAGTTGTTAAGGGGTATGCTTGGAAGAAATGAAATTATGTAATAAAAAATACTAATTTTATGCATATATAATAGGTGGCACGAGGTATCCCCTGAAATGGCAATGGAATTGAATGAGGAGAACACCTAAGTAGATTAATGTGGCAAAATCATAAAGGGAGTAGAGCAAGATGAAGACAAGTGCACGTGATAAAGGTAAATGATAAATTTGAAGGATTATCAGAAGATAAATTTGAGCCATTCTAGAAATACCCCGTCCCCTCCTTCATGGCCAGATTTTTGACCAACTCAAAAGCATGAGAGAGAGAGAGAGAGAGAGAGAGAGAGGAAGTTTGGCCAAGTGAGAAGGAGTAAGGAGGAAGAGAAGATCAAACCAAACCTAAGTGAAATTAAGTCCCAAATCAAGGTAAGAGCGTGAATATCCTTCTAGTTTATTATGCTTTATGAGTTAATGGTTTTAAATATGGTTTTAATGGATTTTGGAAGGTTAAAATCCTAAGATGAAATGCTGTCCAAATGTGTTTAAGCCATGTCAAAGATTGTTTGGTGTTGGAATAATGATTAAAATGAAGAAAGGGGTGATAATCAAGTGGTTTTGTGATGAAATTAGAAAGAACCCAACTTCCCCTATGTTGTGTAATATTTTGGCTAGACCTGGGGTTCTTTATAGGGTTGGATTTTGATGATTTTAATGCTTCTAATGTATTTAAAATGAAAAATTGTGTGGGGTAAAGTGAAAAAGGAAATTTGAAAGTATTGAAAATAGAATTTTTTTCCCCCTAAAACCCTATAGTGTTCGACCAAGTAGAATTCATGGGGAAGGAGTTAGATTTTGTTTAATTTAAACTTGGAAATAGATTTTACATGTACAACTACGGAGGAATAGTATATAGAATTAATTTTAGAAAGAATAGAAATTAAGCTCAAAAGTTAGGAGTCAAGTGATTCAAAGAAAGCAAAATGTTGATAGTAATGGTGATCATGGCTATAATATACTCATTATTAACCTAACATATAAACTAATATATAATTTAATATTATATAGAGCTATGTTTTAGAGAGATCATATCCCATTTGTCATAATTAACAACTCTATTTAATTTTCTTAATCAAACCAAAATTATTTGACTCAATCTTATAGTAAAGATAGAAGTGAATAATATATTACATATTATATTGATAGGTTTGATTTTAGATCTAGGTATGTTTCTAGGCCAATCAGCAATAGCATATAGACCTCAAGATCGAAAGAGGAGGCTGGGAAAGAGAGGAAGAGACAAAGCCCGTACCGTTGAAAGAGGAAGAAGCTGAGAGAGCAACCGACCAAGACCGAAAGGTAGAAATTTTTGTTTCTATTTCCACGAGTCTCGTTTCTTTTCACTATACCCAGCATTTTAATTAACCAGTTTTTGACCTCTTCTTGGTTTTCCTTTTTGTTTGGACATAATCTATAGAATAAGCTCCTATTATATATTTTCTCCTCTTTCCCTTCTAGGATGGCCATGAAAAGAAAAAGAGATTCAATGGACTCTAACACATTGAAAGAGGGTAGAGAAGTTGATGAAGACCCAAAAGTTCATCTATTTGGGATTTCATTGGGTGATCTTCCTTGTGATATTGTTACCAAAAGTGTTAAATAACCAATAATAAGAAATGTTTTGATAATGACAAGTTTGATAGTTTTCTTTTAAAAAATCTGATATAAGGACATTTTAGTTATTTGACTATATTTGCAAAATACCAGATCAAGCACAATTTTCTTTCTTAGGATTTTGACTTCTTAGGTGCCTAAATTAAAATATTTTAATTTTTAACTTCTTTTTATGTCTTTTTTTTTCGGTTATATGTTACGAAAGAAAACACGTAAAAAGGTTAAAATTTATTTTGAAAGACAAAAAAACAAAATTAGAACTTTAAATGTATCACTACCGTTGAAACACCTACCATAGAGTCATAGACTCCCTTAAAAAATGGATGCATACTTCGATTTTTTTTTTAAAAAAAAATCTAGATCTATATTTTTTCCAATACTCCCCCAAGCTATGATTTTTCCTTCTTAATCATATTTATTTGAATAGTTAATCTATTGTTCATAGGTATTCCATATGTTTATTAATTAGTGACATATTCTACGCTTCTAATAGTAAGAGATCATGCAGTATCCAAAAAAAAAAAAAAAAGCAGTGATGATTAAAAAAAGGGAAAATTTTCATTTAAGGACCGCAGTACACAATTAATCTCAAACTGCCCCCACAACTTTCTGAAACTGCACTGCAGGATCAAGGGGTCAATCTGATATTAATTCCATAAGCGAAATGACGCCACTGACCTTGGTAAATACTCATTTCCCGCTGAAAATGAGACATATTGTCAGCTATGTAAAAGAGAGAAGAAAGACGGAAAGGGGAGAGTTGACGCCATTTCCTACCTCTCTATGCAGCGCACCAATGATGAAAGGAGATAGCTGACAACCATAAGCTGAGAAAATGCAATGGCAGAGCTTCACTTTTGAGGTTCGTCCCACAGCCGTCTGTCGAAGTCAAAGTTAGAGTTGGTGGAAGAGAGAGAAATCGCAAGTCTACCCTACGATGTTGCGTCTTCTCTGGAAGTGGAGTCAGCTTGGCAAGAGGTAAGATTTTGTTTTCAAAATTTTAGTTTTGTTCGTGTGATTTGGTGAGCACAGGTGGGTTGTAATGGGTGAATAAGGAAGAAATGAGTATTTTAGTGCATGGGTATGTAGGTTGGGAGTGACTTGCAAATCTGACGGTGTTTTTGGTTTTTAGTTTAAGAAATTTATGCTTATACTGATTTAAGTTGTTAAAGATATGGTGTTTGTGATTTTTGAAAAGTGGGTGCTCATTGAATATAATGCCCTGTTGAAGGAAGTTGGGTAGGCCAAAATGAAAGGGAAATGAGGGTGTGGGCTGGAATGGGTTATATGACGCGTAGATGTGTAGAGGAATGGTGAAAATATGTATTAGAATTGTAAATTTACTAATTCTACTTGTGTATGGGAAAAAAAAAAAGAAATTTAGTGTTGTGAAAATACTAATTGTTGTTGTCAATTTTCAAATTGCTGATGTAAACGTACACTGTCTTTAATTAGTAAAAGTTGATTAAAAGTCATACTTAAATGATGTGTAGCAGCAGAGGATAAATGGATAGCAGTAGTGGGAAACAATTATTTTGCATCTTTCGTGTTGGAGGGCACTTTGTAAAGACCTCTGAAGGAAAATTCATTTATGAAGGGGGCATCATTACTGGAAGATTGATAGAGAAGGGATGACATATGAAGAACTACAATGCCTAGTAGCTCATGATGTGTGGGCAGGGACCTATGAATATAAAATGAAGTACACAGTTAGCTTTGATCGGGACACATTCTTGGATCTTGTTGACGATATTAGTGTTAGACAAGTAATTGAATACAATAATAGTAATGGCCATGTTTATGTTTATGAGAATGAGAAAGAGTTCACACAAGTGTCACAGTTGGACAGTACACAAGAGTAAGTTGTTTTCGACTGGTTTTATTGAGATTGTGCGTATAGGATAAGAAATCTGTCCAATTTTGATAAATTGAACTGTAAGACTCAGTAGTTGTATTTGTTTATGCAAGTTAGATGATTTGATCGACCCTTGTGGAAGGTTAATATCTCCAATGGAGTTGGATCTACACACAGACAACATAAAACATATCTCTCGTACAAGGTATGGCAACACTGATAGGAAGTCTAGTTATGGAAATACTGCCAACCCCAATAGCGGTGATGAATTTGTCAAAATGGGCAGATTTGTTGATGTCAAAAGGGAAAAACTTTGTTAGTGCTGGACATTTTAGAGAGTCATTATATAAGTATAGCCTTGCACACAACTTTGGTTACTGATATGTAAAGAATGATAAGCATAAGATGATTGTGAAGTGCTGTGTAGATGGTTGTCCCTGGGAAATTTCAGCATATGGTGCAGATAACAAGAATAGATTCCTAGCTGTGAGAAGATTTAACAGTGAACACTTACATTGTGCACAAGACAACTTAATTGTCCCTCACAGAAAGAGGTGCAAATTTACTTCGGCAGTCATAGTAGATGAGTTGATATCTTGCATACACAAATCTCCAAATGACATTAGGCGGGATTTGGAAAGAGAGTGTGGGGTGAGTCTCAACTACGAACAAGCATATAGGGCAAAAGAGAAAGTATTGGCACAAATTCATAGTTGTCCAAAGGAGTCTTATATGTTAATCCCTTGGATATGTGAAATGTTAAGGGAAAGTGATCCAGAAACGGTAGCAAAGTGGGTTATATTGTCACATAATAGATTTCAAGCTGTATTTATTGCATATAGTTATTGTGTAAAAGGGTTTTTGGAAGGTGGTAGACCTATATTATATGTGGATGGATGCCACCTAAGCGGTATGTACAAAGGTACGTTATTGGGAGCACAAGCGTATGACGCAGATAATGAATTATGCCCACTTGCATATGCAATTGTTGGAAGTAAGACGCTCAATGAGTGGGCATGGTTTCTTGGTAACATAAAGGATATTACAGGATCATTAGAAGTGACAATAGTATCGGATAGGCACAACTCAATAAAAAGCACAGTGCAAGCCTTGTTTAGAGGAGACCGACATGTTTTTTGCAACCATCATGTCAAGGAGAATTACAGTGCTGAGTTCTTGAAGATAACCAGGGAAAAGAGGAGGACCAGCGGGCAAACCAAGAAAGTTGCACTAACTTGATTCTATTACGCAAACTTGACAAGACTTTGATTGCAGTATGGAAAAGCTAATGGGATTTTTTCCAAAATTGGGACAATGGCTTCAAACAAATGGAGACATTGAGCATTGGGCACAAAGCAAATTTTCTTACAAGAGGTGGGACAATATCATAACAAATCTAGTTGAATCCTTTAATGCTTGGCTTGTTGGTGAGAGGAAGCACAACATAGCTGTCTTGATACATGAGCATAGGGAAAAATTAGCAAAAAAGATGCATAACAGCAAAGAGGCCATGACAAATTGGACCAATGGTGTGGGACCTAATATAGAAGAAAAGCTGATGAATCATGTGGCCAATAAGAAAGAATGGATGTGCAAGATTATGGGATGAACAATTTCAAGGTCAGATGGGAAACCTAGATGTGCTGGTAAATCTTGTGTTACGTGAATGCACGTGCAAAGGTTGGCAAATGTCAGACTACCTTGCCTACATGCATGTGCTGCAATTAAGAAGGTATATGGTAATGTATATGCATATGTTGAGGATTGCTTTTTACTCTCAACGCAAAAGAAAATTTATGCTAGACTCATGATTCCAGTTGAGACCTATGACATCCCTAGGCTATTCGCTTCGATATGAACATTACTCATCCACTATCTTCCTGCAACCACCAGTGACAACTCACCGTGTTGGAAGACCTAGAGTTAGGAGGATTAAATCACAATTCCAGTAGAAGAAACTATATCATTGCTCAAAATGTGGTGAAGCTGGTCACACTAGAAAGACTTACAGTGACCCAAACTCTGGGTGACTCTGATGCTGAAAATAGTCTTCTTCTTTTTTTGTTCAATTTACACCTTGTCAAGTTAGGCAATTTTCATAGAGTCAGTAAATTAACCATGTGCATTACAGGAATTCATGTTTACTGACTCTTCATGTAAATTGCCTAACTTGACAGGTTCCAGCAAACAGGAAACCGTTACATACCAACTAAGTGGATAATCCCCTAATTCCCGTGTCAATTGCCTAATTTTCTTTGATGCCACTACAGATCAGTTTCCAACAAACATGAATTCCTGTAATGCACATGGTTAATTTATTGACTCTTCATGTAAATTGCCTAACCTGACAAGTTCCACCAAACATGAAACCGTTACCTATCAGCTAAGTGGATAGTCCCCTGATTGCGCGTGTCAATTGCCTAAGTTTTCCTATCAGGCAACAGCAGACCATATTCCCACAAACATAGTGGGTAATTTACTGACTCTTCATGTAAATTTCCTAACTTGACAACTTCCACCAAACATGAAACCGTTACACAACAGCTAAGTGGATAATCCCCTAATCTCTCTGTCAATTGCCTAATTTCCCTTCTGAGACCATTACAGATCAAATTCCAACAAACATGGTGGGTAATTTACTGATCCTTCATGTAAATTGCCTAACTTCACATGTTCCAGCAAACATGACGTTCTTACATGCAAGTGGTTATTCAACTCATTCTTCAGTCAATTGACTAACTATCATTGTTAGCCCACTAAATCTCACATTCCAACAATGACCAAGATAAACCAAAGGAAACAAACTCATTTGCTAATCCATACCACAACAACTGCCCCTCCCAATTGTTTTTTTAATTTCTGCAAAATGCCTACAAACACTATAATAATACAGTTAACTACCAACACTAATTTTTTCCTTCATCATTAGCTTCATACTTAACCCCCACACAAACTCTTAACGCTGCACTCACAAGCCTTCTCTCACTAAACCAGGAGGATTTGATAAAGGGCAAAAGAGGTGACGGCTGAACACTATGTCACATATTAGTAACCATTCCTCAGTTACAACCCAAATGTCATTACCAAATACACCCACCTTTCAGTGGGTCATTCTTCCTTAACCTACCGTGAAAACCGAATCGAACAAATCTATTGCATTTAATATGGACTGCGAAGCTTACCAAAGGAAATCAGTGACTTATTGTCGCCCAGCTTCTTCCTTCTTTGTCGATAGCCTTGTAGGTTTCCTCCTTTCTCCGCCTCGTCTTGTTCTCCTTTTGGTTGTCCAACACCTTTGGCAGATTAGAAGAGGCAAGAATCTTCCCGCAGTGCTAGCAGGTTCGTAAGCGGGAGACGGTAGATTTTTCGCAGAGTGGTACCATGTTGGCAGACCCAAAGACGCAACAGTTTTCCCAGAGTGGTTGCATGTTCGCAAAGTGGGAAACGGAAGAGTTTTCGAACAGTGGGATCACCTTTGCATAGAGAGAGGGGGGAGGACTATCTGACCATATTTTGGCCCTTATTTCAAATTTAAAGGGAAGTTTAATGAGGGGCAAAAATGTCATTTCTTTTGTGGAACTAATGTCAGATTGGCCCCTTAGTCCTGCAGTAAGGTTTCAGAAAGTTTTGGAGGCAGTTTGAGATTAATTGTGTACCGCGGCCCTTAAACGAAATTTTCCCTTAAAAAAATTATGCTGGTCAAAGCCATGCAATCAATGCTAGAAATGAAACCTTTTAATTGCAACAAAAAAAATCATTGCTGAAAATATCCGCAGCGGCAATGGCATCATAATAGCGCCCGAAGGCATAACTTTGTGCAGTGACTTCATGTGATTGCTGTTGAAAGAAACAACCTTGAGCGGGACCAAAAATGACAAATAAAATGTAATAATTATTTTATCTAAATTATAAAAGCTTCCCTTCTTTTCTGAAAACATATATAAATCTCATTTAAAATTAAAATGTTTGTTGTTCCTTATATATTTAAGGCTTTATTTCCAACCCCTAATTTTTAATTGATAATTAACCATCACTTATTGATTTGAGCAATGTCCGCCTCATCATATGTGATAATGCTGTGTTCTAACTATCACAAAATTTGTGAAGACTCAAATTAAGTTGCATGTTCCCCAATGTTATATGTGAATTATTAGTATGTAATTCATTCGGATAATGAATATTATGGGCCAATTTTATCGCATAGAAATGTGAGAATCCACATTTAGTATTAGAAAGCTGCTGAAAATGTGTTACCACGCCTCAAATTCAAAAAAACAGGAAGTGATGTAACTATGTATTCTCAATCTCATATATATGAATGAAACAAAACATCCAAAAACAAATTGTGACATCATAACGGAATTTGACAGTTAAAACTAACAATGTCAACTTTTAATGGAGGTTCCCTTTTCTAAACAAATGTTACAGCTTAAAATGTCAAAAGCTAATGTGAGAGGGGGAAAAAAGGGTTGGAACTAAACCAAAGCAAAAAGAAAATGCATTTGTTATTTCCAAATAAAGACAGCAAAAATTCAGAAGGCTGAGTAAACAAATAGAAGAACTATATCCATAATGGAAAGATGAATCTGGAAGGCGCAGAGGAGGGAAAGGAAAAGTACAAGGAAAGAGATTTTTGATTTAGAGCAATGAAAGAGGCAAAAAGGCATCAATTACTTTCCCTGCTTCTCATACAAGGTAATTAAACAAGCGAATGAGTGATATATTATTCACCCAAAAAAAAAAAAAAACATTGGCACATTAGTAGAAAACTAGCCCTGAGTTATAGTGACATCTAGTGTTAAATATCCGCATTCATCATTCTAGATAACGTCTCCAAAAGACATCAAATATTACAGGTACAAAAAGAATCTAAACTATTAGAGATTCCTTTACATCAAAGTACTTAAACAAAGTAAATCTGGAATGTTTGAGAGGGGTTTTTCCCGTTTTACCAAAAAAAAAAAAAAAAAAGTGAATCTGCAATGTAATAATTAGATTTTAGAATCAACGGTAGGTGCCAAGTGATACCAAGCTTTCCACATAATTCCACATATTATGAACATAGTCGCATTTGGGAATATCAAACCTCTTAGCATCGTTAGTTGTAGGATTCAGCAGATATAGAACATGTCTTCCTTTTACATTATCCTCTTCAGAAGAAGCTTGGCAGACAATCTGGTTCCTCAAACAGTCATTGGATTTAATATGTATGGAGAAGGACTGCTAGTATATATTTTAGTCCAACTCCATCTCTCCCCAGATGCACATGTACCTTCCTCCATCACCCACAAATCAATCAAATCAGACCTTTCATCATCATCATCCCAAATGTCACAAAGCACAGCAAGCTTATTCTCATAAACAGTAAGCTTTTCATTTGCATTATAGTCTAAAGAAGGCCATGGCATCAATGTAAAGACTTCCTTTGCTATGTCAAATGAAACTATCACCTCAGTATCATTTTCACCCTTCTCTTCTTCACCTAGATTTAACCCAAACCAAAATATAGCTCCATTAGTTGTGACACTTTCAGAATAAAGTTTAACCCCCTTCAAATTCCCAATTTCTATTCCCTTCCATGTCTGTCTACTTAATGAAAACACTTCCACTCGATTAACTTCATCATCAAACTGAGCATAAGTTCTCACTATCTTGTAATCATTAACAGCTGCACTGAACCCAAATCCTACCTCACATTCATCAGAGTCGGAATAAGTTCTTCTAGGCACATATCTGAACACTCTATTCGCAGGATTCCACAATAAAAGGGAAGGAGGAAATTTTTTATCATGATTGATTTCAACACAAAGCAAGCCATTGCAGGAACCCACAATCCTTGCACGACTGAAAGCATTGATCGAAGGGACATTTTGAACTTCATGGAGTTGCAGCCCACAATCGAGCAAACACAAGCGCAAAGGACTCCGTTCTAAAAGAAGAGAAAGATTTTGATGACTAGAGTGGTGAAGGTGGTCTGCAACAAAAGATCGAGTCTTGATGAGATTTTTCCACTGTTTGCACACACATTGAAATCGGATCAGGGACTTCACAGGAAGCCGTTTGAGAATATTTCTAATGATTTCTTCATGAAGAAATAGAGTATTGCTGTCCATTTCCTTCTAGTTCATAAAGCTCGACTGGCAAGAACAGATCTCTCAGTCTCAAAGAAAGCCCTCACAAGAGAACTCTATAGATCTTGATAATATTAGTTGGCGAAAAACCACAATCTTTCATCATGTTCCATATTTCATCAGTTGACAATGCACTGCTGCTTCCAGTTATTCCAAAACATAACGTGATACCCAAAAATCAAATAATTATAAGAAAGCATGAAGAAGATAATCTGAATTCAATTCATTGAGAAAATTTCATCAAGTTCCAAGAAGATAACATGTCCATATGTGCAAAGCCCATAATAATTCCAGAGGCAAAAATAGCACACTCTAATGTAGTCTGCAGAATGATTGCCACAATAACACCATAAATAGCAACAACTTCACAGAAGGTCACACTGAATCACCAGTGCAATAAAAGAATAATACATCAAGCCGAGTACATGATTGTATTTAAATCTGTAACACCAGCATCAGTAAGCTTTATCCAGGCTATTTAAGAAGCAACTTAATTTTCACAAGATTCGATTAAAACTTTCTTCTGTTTAGATAATCCAAATCCCAAAATGATAGGCTTAAGTATTTGAATTTAAAAGACGAAAAGAAAAGATGAGTGAATACAATCCAACAGCTTTTAAAACCAACTTGTCTGCGGTATGCAAATTAAGTACCCAAAAAAAAAAAAAAAAAACCCACTAATCTCATAACCAGTGAACTGAGCCTTGCTAATCTGATGGTTCAACGGTCATCATATCTGATTTATGTTTTCTCCAAGTGAGGAAGTTCATTGGTGATGGATAATTACTGACTTAACCGAAATTTTTATGAAAACTCTTGTTTGGAGATTTGCGTCTTCTAATATCATCATCAGTCAAAGAATTTTGAGCATATAAAGCATCCGACCATTTTTCAACTTTATTGATTAAAATTTCATAGGGAAGAGACAACTATGGAGAGCATTTCTACTGTATGGCCCCCCGATACAGGGACGCTTATTTAGCAAAGGCGGTAGCTACAGACACAGACACACCTGGAGAGAACGCACTCAGAGATGACAAGAATGAAGATGAGAATGAAGAAGACTATGGGAGAGATGGCGGCAACGATCGACAACGATGGAGCAGGCGGCGGTGACTGGAGGAGGGAAGCGACCAAGCACACTGCCTGAAGAAGAGTGGCTGCAGAGCTAAGACTCGCGAGTTTTTTTTTTTCTTTGGGCCAAAAAGAGTGAAAAGAATGAAAAGTGAGTAATAAAAATGTCATAACCAATTTACTACAAATTATTTTTCCGCCCCCGACAAATCCCAATGTTAGAGGAGGAAAAAGAGGGAAGAAGACAAAAGCCTATAGGAAAAATAAATCTTCTTATCCTCACTTTTTTTTTTCTTTTGCCAATATTTTTGTCTTAACTCACGTACAGCTTGCTAATTTTTCTATATTTAATAATTTAATTCTTATATATATAATTATTCTAGGTGAAAAGATAAAAGTCCCTTTGCATTTGGAGATTGAGAATTACCTTATATTTCTTGTAAATCATTGAATTTTAATTGTCATTCACTAAATATTTGCATTTAGGAGTTATCAATTCATTTATGTTCTTTATAATTGTTAATTTTAGTTGTAAATCGTTGAATTTAAGTTGTTTATTTACACCTAGATACTTGTATTTGTGATTGTGAAATTCATTATGCCTTTTGTGAATTACTGAATTTGAGTTGTAAATTATCAAAGTTGATTTGTTTATTTACACTTAAATATTTTTATTTGAGAATTATGAATTCCCTTGTAAACAATTCAAATTTGGCAATTTATAAGAATTTTTGTTTTAAAAAAAACAAAGTCACGGATATTTTTGTCTTTTCATTCATAAAATTTGATTTCATTTGGAAAATTAGTTGTGTGGTGAAATGTCATAATTTTTTGTGGGCTATTGGAAATTAATTCTCTACTGTAGGACTAACTGAAATTTTCCCAAAAAAATTAAGTCACTGGTAAATTTTCCTTTGTTTAATGATAAAAAATTATTAAACTTTAGATAAATAATAATTCAAAAATAAATGTTTAAATATAAGCTTATTAAATATCAAATAAATAATATTAGTATTAATTTATTGAATTTGATGGCAAAAAAATTATTAAGGTGACAATCGTGTTTTGAAACAAAACTAAAACTCCAAAATGTTAATCTTTTCTTATGTATATAAATAACAGTTTTTTACTAAATAACTATGCACGAGATGATATAATTAATAAAACATGTGAACCATTAAACTTTTGAATAAGAGATGCCCCTTTATATTGCTCGTCTCATTTCTTTCAGTCACAGTGGAATGTGGTGGGTCCGAAAGTGTGTGAATTTGTAAAGCAAGCTTGGGTAAATCCAGCATTAATTCGACAGGTAAATCAGACTAACATTGTGTTGATTCCGAGGGTTGATCACCCAACTGGCTTGAAAGATTTTCGGCCGATATCATTGTGTAATGCCTGCTTTAAGATTATTAATAAAGTTTTAGCCAACAAATTCAAGGGCGTTATGAATTATCTGATATCAGAGACTCAGTGTAGCTTTATTAGTGAAAGGCATAGCTGTGATAATATCATTATCGTGCAGGAGGCTATTCACATTATGCGAGTTAAGAGGGGCACTAAGGAATATGTCGCAATCAAAGTTGATACTTTGTGTGGTATAGGCTTCCAGCACAATCTGATTCATATGATCATGGAGTGTGTAACAACCGCCATGATGAGTGTAACGCTAGTTTTTGCCCATCCAGAGGAGTCAGGCAGGGGGACTCGTTGAGCCCTTATCTCTTCATTCTTTGTATGAAAAAGGCTGGGACAATTAATTCAGCAGGAAGCGGAAAATAAGAGGTGGAAGCCATTGCCTATATGTAGGTCGGGACCAAAAATTGCTCACCTTTTCTTTGCAAATGACCTTCTCTTTTTTGTGGAGCTTCACTAGAGCAAATGGAGGAGGTGAGGCAGATTATGAATTTCTTTTGTAAGGTGTCCAGACATAAGATCAGCCTGCAAAAGTCAAAAGGTGTTCTTCTCTGCAAAAATACATTTAAACAGAGCCTTGGAACTAAGCCAAACTCTGGGCATGGGACTCTCGTCAGATTTAGGGAATTACCTGGGTGTGTCCTTTTTGCATAAAAGAGAGACAAAAACTACTTTTGCTTCTCTTATTAATCGGGCGGGAGCAAAACTTGCAGGCTAGAAGGGGAGATTCTTAAGTATGCCGGGTAGGACGGTGCTGATCAGGTCAGTTTTGTCTAATACTCCTTTTCATCAAATGCAGACAGCTTTGCTTCCGATGGGGGTTCTTGCGGATATTAAAAGAATTAGTAAAGACTTCTTTTGGAATCATTCTCAGGAGTCCAGGAAGATGCACTTGGTGGCATTGGATGTTTTAAAACAGAATAAGGAAGCAGGTGGGCTGGGCATAAAGGATCTTTATTGTCAAAACAAAGCGTTCATTATGAAGTTGTGTTGGCCTGTTGGGGACTTGTTACAAGCAAAAGGCTCCTTGGGCTAGACGTGTCAGACAGAAATATCGGTGCGGTAATGATAAAATGCCCTATGTTGAAAGGAAAAGGAAATAGTCTGCTACTAGGAGAAGTATTCTCACTGTGTGGGATACCTTCCGCAGTGGTTTAGGCAGCAAAATTCGTGGTGGAAGGAGAACGCGGCCTTGGAGTGAATCATGGTCCCCTCTGGAGAAACCTTTGGCTTTTTATTCTAACGGAAACTGCGCAAATTACGTCTAGATGCCAAAGTAAGTGATTTTATTAATCCAAAAGGGCAATGGGATGTACATAAGTGGCGGTTGTTCCTTCCTGAAATAGTCATGCAGCAGATCCAACGTGTATCGCCACCCAGTGGGGATGAGGTTGATGTTTCACGCCGGCGGGCAGCGTCGAATGGGGATTTTAGTGTTAAGTCGATCGGCGTACCAGTGCAAACACAAACAACAACACTGGCCAAAGGATTCTTTAATTTAGAAAATTTGGCGCTGGGCTATTCCAGAACAAACAAAGTTCTTCCTATGACAAGTTTCCCTTGAAAGAGTTCCTGCAAACTCCTTTAGAGTGAAAAGAGTACAAAATACTCTTCACACATGTGTCTTTTTGAGTGCGGTTATGAGGAAATTCTAATCCATGTACTCAAGAGACTGTGACATAGCAAAGGGTGGGTGTTATTTACTTAATCCTCTTTGTCAGTCCTGCAAACTCCTTCAGAGTGAAAAGAGTGCAAAATATTTCAAATATGTGTCCTTTTAAGTGCGGTTATGAGGAAATTCTAATCCATGTACTCAAGAGACTGTGACTGTGTGACATAGCAAAGGGTGTGTGGTGTTATTTAATTAATCCTCTGTCATTCTGTCTTTTTTCGGTGAAATTTTGCAAGTCCGGCTTCACCAGAATTCAAAGGAAAATATTGGGAGGAGGGCCATGTATAAATGGCCATGGCAGCAGATTTTGGGAGTACTCTGCTGGTTGCTTTGGGAAAACCGGTGCAGGAAAGTATTTGAATCTGGTCGAATGGACTGAACAGGAAAGATATAAACATGAGTTCTGGCAGATGTCTGCCTAGAATACGATTTTTAGATGCCTTGCAGAAACTCAATCACAATGACTGAGTCAGCAGCTTGCTAGAAGGTGGAGAGCCGAAGTCTGCAAACATCAGTTGAAAGAGAAAGATGAAGAGAGGATGAGGAAGAGAAGAAGAAAAGAGAAGGAGAGCGCATTTTGTTTCTTTTTTTTTTTTAAATATTTCAAAATTCATGTTTAAGACTTAGTTTTTTACAATAATTTTGTGAATTGAAAAACTCAAATTACAGTTTTATACATTCCAATGTCTTTTATTGCCATTTTCTCTAAAAAAGTAAGCGATATTTATATGCTTAGATAATTTTATAAAAAGTTTATTTATTATGCAGAGATTTGATAAAACGCAGAAATCATCTTGTGTTGGGTTACAGGTGTTAATTTATTTTTAGTAATTATAATATTTTAAGATATCTTATTTTTAATAACCATTAATTCTTTATTCCTAAAAAAGTTATTATTTAATTATTTTTCAATGAAAAGTTGATTTGATTCCTCTGAGGATATGATGTTATGGACCATACCTACGTTAAATTTCTTATATCTATTATATCAAGCTCTCTAATCATACATGACCATATGTTCTATTTTTAAAATATTAACATTTAATAGTATTTAATTATAAACCCAAATGAAAAAAAATGAAATATATGACTTTGTGCAATTAGAGAATTTGACACAATAGATATGATATGAGTAACTTGACCTAAGTATTTTTTTTATATTATTATATATTATAATATCTGTAATTATAATGTTTTGTATATTATTATATTTTGTATTATGTTTAAAAATGATTTTATTATATTATTATAATATAATATACTCATTATTTATCTAACATATAAACTAATGTATAATTTAATATTATCTAGAGCTATGTTTTAGTGAGATCATATCTCATTTGTCATAATTAACAAATCTACTTAATTTTTTTAGTCAACTCAAATTGTTTACCTCAATGGCTCAATCTTATGTCCCGTTTGGTACTATGGAAGAGTTTTTGATGGAAGTGGAAGTGAAAATAGAAATGGAAGTGTAAGTGGAAGTGACATTAAAAATGTGTTTGGTGTGACCATGGAAGTAGAATTTAAATTTTAATTAAAATATATATTAATAATATGAAAATACTAAAATGTCCTGGCTGAAAAAAATCACTCTCTTCCTCCCAAGGAAAAGAAATCCATGTTCGAAAAGAAGCATGCCGTCGGAGGAAACTATTCAGGAATTAGAACTGTTGTGATAGGATTCTTTCAATTGCAAATCTGATCAAACCACTTTCCTATAGCAATTAATCCACTCAAAACACCCATATCTTGAAGAAGTTAGCTTTGCTTCTTCTCATACTCCACATACCGCTTCCTACAATCCAGCTACGCTGCTATCAATGGCGGCCATTAACACAGGATTTAAACAAGAAATCTTCCAGAAAATTAGCATAAGAACCAAAAAACAAATATTGCAAAGAAGATGGTTGCAGCTATCAAAGTCAAGAACCAAAATCATAGGAAAAAAATAATAGCAGAAAATCTGACAAGAAAATACTTCCATTATTGTAGCATCGAATCAAAGAACCACCTCTGTTAGAAATGAAAATGAGTTGCGAATTGTAACAGAGATTTCAGCTTAAAAAAAAAAAACAAAGTACTATCGTCTCTGGAGAAGAAGACTCGCAGATCTGGAGAAATCTCTCCCTCTCGATGGTAGAAACCATACTCTTTGGAGAGACCCGAATGTTGATCTCTATCCATTGTCATTGATGGAAGAAATAGATGAAGAGGATGAAAGATCGGGAGCAGCCAAAATGAAAATTGAAGGTTGAAACCACCGCAATCATACATCATCATCGTTGCCACGCCAACCTTGCCTCGTCTTCATCGTCCTCGCGAGGTTAGCGTTGTCAAAGGTGGAGGAGGAAGCGAGAAGGGAGAAGATGAGATCGAAGGGGATGCCGGAGGGGGGACATCGTCAATGATGGAGATGGACGCCGGAGGAGGATGGCATCAGGTTTGACGGAGAAGGGATGGGCAAATTGGTCAATTGATAAAACAACTGAAGGGTACAGGTCAAAAAATCTCACTTCCATGGAACCCATCTCAGTTCCCAGCTAAGGAACCGAGTTCCATTTGATGGAACTGACTTCCACCAGGAACCCACTTCACGGATACCAAACGCATAAAATAATGTGTACCAAACCCATCTCAGTTCCCAGCTAAGGAACCGAGTTCCATTTGATGGAACTGACTTCCACCAGGAACCCACTTCACGGATACCAAACGCATAAAATAATGTGTTCCACTTCTTTCCCTCTAGTTCCCTGCTACCAAATGTTATGTAAAGATATAATACTCCTCCGGTCCTTATTATAAGACCCAATTTGACTATTTTAGGTCCTAATTATAAGACCCAATCCATTTTCTCTATTATATTATACATTTTTTTCCAAGATAATCCAACTTAATTAGCTATACTTACCTTACTTAATCTCCTCAAATAAGTTAATTGGGTCTTATAATTAGGACCGGAGGAGTATTACGATATTATATTGACAGGTTAAGTTTTAGATCAAGGTGAGTTTCTAAGCCAATCATCAAAAGCATATAGACCTCAGGATCGAAAGGGAAGGCTGGGAAAGAGAGAGAGACAAAGCACGCACCATTGAAAAAGGAAGAAACCGAGAGAGCAACCAGCCGAGGCCGAAGGGTAGAAATTTTTGTCTCATTTCCATGAGTCTCGTTTCTTATCACTATACACAACACTTTAAATTAATCAGTTTTTAACCTCTTCTTGATATTCTTTTTGTTTTGGGCATAATCTATATAAGAAGCTCCTATTATATTTATATTGTTACCAAAAGTGTTAAAAAATCAATAATAAAAAATGTATTGACAATAACAAGTTTAATAATTTTCTCAAAAAAAAATCTAGTACAATGACATTTTAATCATTTGACTATCTTTATAAAATATCATATCAGATACCACTTCTTTTTATGGGATTTTAACCTCTTACATTCCTGAATTGAAATATTCTAATTTTTAACTTCTTTTTATATTATTTTCCCTTTTGGTTATATGTTCTGAAAAAACAAAAAACAAAACTAAAATTTATTTTGAAAGACAAAACAAACAAAATTAGAACATCTTTTTAACTGTATCACTGCCACTGAAACACCTCCCACAGAGTCATAGACTCCCTAAAAAAATGCATCCATACTTCGATCTGTCTTTTTCCTTTTTTAAATCTGGATCTATATGTTTTCCCAATACTCCCCCAAGCTATGACCTTTTCCTTTTTAATCATATTTATTTGAATAGCTAATCTATTGGTCATAGGCATTCTATATGCTTATTAATTACTGTCTTAGTGACATATAGGGCGCTTGTAATAGTAAGAGATCATGCAGTACAAAAAAAAAAATCACTTCCAATGATGATAGATTAAAAAAAAAAAAAAAAAAGTATGCCGCCGAAGGTCATGCAGTCACTGCAGTCACCGGTGAAAATGAACCCTTTTCGTTGCAACTAAAAAGTCGCTCCGCAGTGACGGTGGCGTCATAACAGTGGCGTGCGACTGTGCGGTGACTCCATGTGATTGCTGTTGAAAGATACAACCTTGAGCGGGACCAAAAATGACAAATAAAATATAATAATTATTTTATCTAAATTATAAAAGCTTCCCTTCTTTTCTGAAAACATATAAAAATCTCATTAGAATTTAAATGTTTGTTGTCCCTTATATATGTAAGGCTTTATTTCCAATCCCTAATTTTTAATTGATAATTAATCATCACTTATTGATTTGTGCAATGTCCACCTCATCATATGTGATAATCCTGTGTTCTAACTATCACAAAATTTGTGAAGAACTCAAATTAAGTTGCATGTTCCCCAATGTTATATGTCAATTATTAGCATGTAATTCATTCGGATAATGAATATTATGGGACATGTTTATCGCATAGAAATGTGAGAATCCCCATTTAGTATTAGAAAGCTCCTGAAAATGAGTTACCACGCCTCAAATTCAAAAAAACAGGAGGTGATGTAACTATGTATTCTCAATCTTATATATATGAATGAAACAAAACATCCAAAAACAAATTGTGACATCACAACGGAATCTGACAGTTAAAACTAACAATGTCAACTTTTAATGGAAGTTCCCATTTCTAAACAAATGTTACAGCTTAAAATGTCAAACGCTAATGTGGGAGGGGGGAAAAAGGTTGCAACTCAACCAAAGCAAAAAGAAAATGCATTTGTTATTTCCAAATAAAGACAGCAAAAATACAGAAGGCAGAGTAAACAAATAGAAGAACTATATAAATAATGGAAAGATGAATCTGGAAGGCGCAGAGGAGGGAAAGGAAAAGTACAAGGAGAGAGATTTTTGATTTACAGCAATGAAAGAGGAACAAAGGCATCAATTACTTTCCTTGCTTCTCATACAAGATAATTAAACAAGCGAATGAGTGATATATTATTCACCCCAAAAAAAACAAAAAACACATTGGCACATTGGTAGAAAACTAGCCCTAAGTTATAGTGACATCTAGTGTTAAATATCTGCACTCATCATTCTAGATAATGTCTCCAAAAGACATCAAATATTACAGGTACAAAAAGAATCTCCACTATTAGAGATTCCTTTCCATCAAAAGTACTTAAACAAAATAAATCTGGAATGTTTGACAGGGGTTTTTCCCGTTTTACCAGGAGGGAAAAAAAAAAGTAAATCTGCAATGTAATAATTAGATTTTAGAATCAACGGTAGGTGCCAAGTGATACCAAGCTTTCCACATAATTCCACATATTATGAACATAGCCGCATTCGGGAATATCAAAACTCTCAGCATCATTAGTTGTAGGATTCAACAGATATAGAACATGTCTTCTTTCTACATTATCCTCTTCAGAAGAAGCTTGGCAGACAATCTGGTTCCTCCAAACAGTCATTGCATCTACTACGTATGGAGAAGGGCTGCTAGTATATATTTTAGTCCAGCTCCATCTCTTCCGAGATGCACATGTACCTTCCTCCATCACCCACAAATCAATCAAATCGGACCTTCCATCACCATCATCCCAAATGTCACAAAGCATAGCAAGTTTATTCTCATAAACGGTAAGCTTTTCATTTGCACTATAGTCTAAAGCAGGCCATGGCATCAACGTAAAGACTTCCTTTGCTATGTCAAATGAAACTATCACCTCAGTATAATTTTCACCCTCCTCCTCTGCACCTAGTTTTAACCCAGACCAAAATAGAGCTCCACTAGTTGTGACACTTTCAGCATAAAGTTTAACCCCCGTCAAGTTCCCAATATCTATTCCCTTCCATGTCCCTCTATTTAATGAAAACACTTCCACTCGATTAACCGCATCACCAAACTCAGCATAAGCTCTCACTATCTTGTAATCATTAACAGCTGCACTGAACCCAAATCCTACTTCACATTCATCAGAGTCGGAATAAGTTCTTCTAGGCACATATCTGAACGTTCTATTCGCAGGATTCCACAATAAAAGGGAAGGAGGAAATTTTTTATCATGATAGATTTCGACACAAAGCAAGCCATTGCAGCAACCCACAATCCTAGCACGATTGAAGGAATTGATCGAAGGGACATTTTGAACTTCATGGAGTCGCAGCCCACAATCGAGCAAACACAAGCGCAAAGGACTCCGTTCTAAAAGAAGAGAAAGATTTTGATGACTAGAGTGGTGAAGGTGGTCTGCAACAAAAGATCGAGTTTTGATGAGATTTTTCCACTGTTTGCACACACATTGAAATCTGATCAGGGACTTCACAGGAAGCCGTTTGAGAATATTTCTAATGATTTCTTCATGAAGAAATAGGGTCTTGCTGTCCATGTCCTTCTAATTCATAAAGCTCGACTGGAAAGAACAGCTCTCTCAGTCTCAAAGAAAGCCCTCACAAGAGAACTCTATAGATCTTGATAATATTAGTTGGCGAAAAACCACAATCTTTCATCATGTTCCATATGTCTTCATTTGACAATGCACTGCTGCTTCCAGTTATGCCAACACATAACTTGATCCCCGAAAATCAAATAATTATAAGAAAGCATGAAGAAGATAATCTGAATTCAATTCATTGGGAAAATTTCAATAAGTTCCAAGAAGATAACATGCCCATATTTGCAAAGCCCATAATAATCCCAGAGGCAAAAATAGCACACTCTCATGTGGTTTGCAGAATGATTGCCACAATAACACCATAAATAGCAACAACTTCACAGAAGATCACACTGAAATACCAATGCAATAAAAGAATAATACATCAAGCAGAGTACATGATTGTATTTAAAGCTGTAACTCCAGCACCAGTAAGCTTTATCCAGGCAGTTTAAGAAGCAACTTAATTTTCACAACATTCGATTCGAACTTTCTTGTGTTTAGACAATCCAAATTCCAAAATGATAGACTTAAATATTTGAATTTAAAAGACGAAAAGAAAAAGTGAGTGAATACAATCCAACAGCTTTTAAACCAACTTGTCTGCAATATCCAAATCAAGTACCCAAACCAAAAAAAAAAACCCACTAACTGAGTCTTGCTAATCTGATGGTTCAACGATCATCATATCTGATTCATGTTTTCTCCAAGTAAGGAAGTTCATTGGTGACAGATAATTACTGACTTAACTGAAATTTTGTATGAAAACTCTTGTTTGGAGATTTTCGTCCTGTAATATCATCATCAGTCAAAGAATTTTTAGCATATAAAGCATCCGACCATTGTTCAACTTTATTGATTAAAATTTCATAGGGAAGAGACAACTCTGGAGAGCTTTTCTATTGTATGGCCCCCTGAAACAGGGAAGCTTATTTAGTAAAGGCGGTAGCTACAGATGCAGACACACCTGGAGAGAACGAACTCAGAGATGACAAGAATGAAGACGACTATGGGAGAGATGGCGGCAACGATCGACAACGCTGGAGCAGGCGGCGGCGGCGGGAAGAGGGAAGCGACCAACGACCCTGCCTGAAGAAATGTCATAAACAATTTATTGCAAATTATTTTTCTTCCCCCGGCAAATCCCAGTTTTAGAGGAGAAAAAAAGGAAAGAAGACGAAAGCCTCTAAGAAAAATAAATCTTTTTACCTTAACTTTTTATTCCTTTTGCCGACATTTTTGTCTTAACTCACTTCTAGCTAGCTAATTTTTCTATATTTAATGGTTTAATTTTTATTATATATAATTTATTCTAGGTGAAAAGACAGAAGTCCGCTTGCATTTGGAAATTGAGAATTACCTTATGTTTCTTATAAATCACTAAATTTTAGTTGTCATTTTCTAAATATTTATATTTAGAGGGTGTGAATTCCTTTATATTTCTTGTAAATCATTGAATTTTAGTTACAAATCATTAAATTTGAATTGTTTATTTACACCTAAATACTTGTATTTGGGATTATGAATTTTCTTATATTATTTATAAATCACTGAATTTTAGTTGTAAATCATTGAAATTGATTTATTTATTTACACCTAAATACTTTCATTTGAGAATTATGAATTCCCTTATAAACAACTCAAATTTGGCAATTTATAAGAATTTTTGTTTAAAAAAAATTAAGTCCGGATATCTTTGCCTTTTCATCCATAAAATTTAATTTCACTTGGAAAACTAACTGTGTGGTGAAATTTCATAATTTTGCATGGGCGATTGAAAATTAATTATCTAATAGGAAATTACAAGTCTAAAATAAGAAATAACAATTCTGTAATAAAAAATAATAAAACTGGAATAAGAAATAACAAGTGTGCAACAAGAAATTATAAGTCCCTTATAGGAGATTATGAGTTTAAAATAAAAAATTATAAGTATACAATAAAAAATAACAAATCTGAAATAAAAAAGTACAAATTTAAAATAAAAAATTACAAGTCTAGAACCCAACTTACTTATTATATTCAAGATGGTTCTCACATCCTCAACAAGACCGTCCCTACAGTGGCGAACTTAGGTATTATTCCTTTCGTAATCTTTATATTTATCCTCATATTCCTCCTCATCACCTAAGGCCTCATCCAATCTGAGCTAAGGGGAATTAATTGACCACCCAAAGTTTCTGGTCGTGGATGAAGAACAAAAGAACAGATGCGAAAAACCCAACTTTGTTGGAGTTGTGGAGAAGTCAGACCCTAAAGGGTAAGGGGAACTGAAGGCAGGGGTCAGGGGCTGCTCGGCTGTATGATTGAAACTAACTAGAAGTAAGTTTTGATAAACGCATTAAGAGAGAAAACAGATGACTTAGATCTCATTGTGATCATGTATTGTAGAAATTAGAAATCCAAATATCACTGCTATACGTTAAAATAGAAACATGATGATCAAAAAGGCTGTGACACATAATTAAAAGACTGCATAGGTTGGTCACCACTTCATTTGCAAAACTGAAGTGGAAGTATGAGAGAACGACAGAAAGAAATGCAATCCAAATTGATAACATGGAACGGAAAATGTGTTCACAATGACAGACTCAGCAGCTTGCTTGAAGGTAGAGAGCGGAAGTCTACAAACCTTAGTTGAAAGAGAAGGATGAAGAGAGGGAGAGGAAGAGAAGAAGAAAAGAGGAGAGGACATTTTTATCTTTTTCTTAATATTTCATAATTTATATTTAAGATTTAGTCTCTGGTAGCAATTTTGTGAACTGAAGAACTCAAATTGCATTTTTATATATCTCAAGGTCTTTTATTGTTATTTTTCCTATAGAAAAATAAGTGATATTTATGTTTTGGTAATTTATAAAAAGTTTATTTATTATGCAGAGATTTGATAAAACGCAGAAATTATCTTGTGTTTGGTTACGGGCGTTAATTTTTTTAAATAATTTTAATATTTTAAGATGTCTTATTTTTTATAACCATTAATTCTTTATTCATAAAAAAGTTATTATTTAATTATTTTTCAATGAAAAGTTGATTTGATTCCTCCTAGGATATTATATTACAGACCATACTTAGGTCAAGTTCCTTATATTTATTATATCAAATTCTTCAATCACACATGGTCATGTATTTTATTTTTGAAATATTAACATTTAATAGCATTTAATTATAAACCCACATGAAAATAAAATAAAATATATGGTTATGTGTAATTGGAGAATTTGACATAACAGATATAAGAAACTTGACTTAAGTATTTTTCTTATATTATTATATATTATAATATACATAATTATATGTATTATATATTATTATATTTAAAAATAATTTTCTTATGTTATTATGATATAATACACTCATTATTTACCTAACATAGAAACTGATATATAATTTAATATTATATAGGGCTACGTTTTAGAGAGACCATATCCCATTTGTCGTAATTAACAACTCTATTTAATTATCTTAATCAACCAAAATTATTTGACTCAATCTTATATTAAAGATATTTGGCCAAAAAAAAATCTTATATTAGAGATAGAAGGGAATAATATAGTACATATTATATTGATAGGTTGAGTCCAAAAAAAAAAATATTGATAGGTTAAATTTTAGATCAAGGTAAGCTTCTAGGCCAATCAGCAGTAGCATATGGACCTCAAGATTGAAAGAGGAGGCTAGGAAAGAGAGGAGGCAACAAAGCACGTACCGTTGAAAGAGAGAGAGGCTGAGAGCCAGCCAAGACCGAAAGGTAGAAATTTTTGTTTCTATTTCCATGAGTCTCGTTTCTTTTCACTATACACAGCATTTTAATTAATCAGTTTTTAACCTCTTGGTTTTCCTTTTGGTTTGGGCATAATCTATATAATAAGCTCCTATTATATGTATATATTCTCCTATTTCCCTTCTAGAATGGCCATGAAAAGAAAAAGAGATTCAATGGACTCTAGCTCGTTGAAAGACGGTAGAGAAGTTGACGAGGACCCAAAAGTTCATCTACTTGGGATTTCATTGGGTGATCTTCCTTGTGATATTATTATCAAGAATATTGAACAATCAATAACAAAAAATATACAGGCAGTGACAAATTTGATAGTTTTCTTTTTAAAAAAAATCTTATAGTAGGGCATTTTAGCGTTTTGACTATTTACAAAATATCATATCAAACACTATTTTCTTCTCTAGGATTTTGACCTTTTAGATGTCTGAATTAGAATATTCTTATTTTTAACTTCTTTTTATGTCATTTTTTCTTTTGGTCATATGTTCCCAAAAAACATAGAGAAGTTAAAATTTATTTTGAGAGACAAAAAACAAAATTAGAATATCTATTTAACTATACTACTACCATTGAGACACCTACCATAGAGTCATAGATTTGCTAAAAAAAATGCGTGCATACAGTAAGAGATCAAGCAGTACAAAAAAAATCTCTTTCAAAGGTGATAATAAAAAAAAAAACACCGCTGAAGGTCATGCAATCACGCAAAGCTAGCTTGAGTAAAGCTGAAGGCAAGAGACAAACAATTGAGGCAAATCTAGCTCTCAAACAAGCTAAGACACGAGTAGAGCCTATCAATGTGATTTCGTAACAAGTTGGTGTGTACAAATAAAATAACTAAAAATCCAAATAGGTTGAGCTGAAAATAGAACCTTTTAGGCCTTGTTTGGATTGCCGTTTATGATGGTAAAAGCATCTAGGAAAGTGTGAAACTGAAGTTTGTAGCTTATTTGGGTGTAAATTGTTGTTTGGCCGGGCTTTTAGCCCAACCAACTTCTGGGGCAAACCTTCATTCCATTTCAACGTTGAGCATTGTGACTTTTGGATGACCATAAAAATATTACCTACCAGATTTACCCTCCACATTTTCTCCTCTGCCTCTTCTCATTCGCTCTCATCACTCCCTCCCTCAAAACTCATTGCTCCAGCCGCTCATCCCTCCTTTACTGTCACCAGCTACTCTCCCTCCCTCCCTGTCACTAGTTGCTCTCCCTCCGTCACTATCGCCGACTATTCTCCCTCCGTCACTCTCTCCTTTTTTCCCCACACGAACGAGCTTTCTCCCCTAGTCTTCTCCCTCACACCGAGTCTCCCATTCTCTTCTTCCTTCTGTCACGTGGTCCTCCGATTATTCCACCAAGCTTGGACTGTCATTCACCATTGGATGCGCCAGAGATCAACTGGAGTCAATTTGGTGTGCTATAGATCAATGTGGTCTTCTCCTAGATCTTCATCCTTAATGAGCTGGTTGTCGACTGTTGTTCTTAACTGTTACATGTGCTAGATACTCATCAGACATGTTGAGCTTCACTGTCGTTCATCGATCTAGTTGTGCTTGCCATATATCTGGCCATTCTCTGCTCCATTTGACTTTTGCTTCACTTGATTTGCCATTGCAGCTTCAACTCGCTGGTAAGGGGGCTGTTTGAAGGTCTTCAACTTGCAGTAGGTCACATGTGTGTGATACATATACACACACACACGTGTATATTTGAGATGGACTGAGATTTGGTACATAAGAAGCCCAGTACTCTCTTTTTCTTTCAGATTGATTGTCAAAGCAGAGGGCAAGTTTTGTGCCTTTGTCTTGAGCTCGATTCACCTTGGGCCTTCGCATCTTTTTCTATTCAACGAAACAGTCAAAACACTACCCCTCTTCTCTCTGTTTTGCTTCACTCTCCTTCAAACTCCTCTACTCCTCTGATAGTGGTTAGTGTTTTTAAGTTTTTGTTTCTCTTGTTGTTTGTGATGAATTTGCTAGTTTTTTGTGCCCTTGTCTAATTGATGCTCATGGATCAATATCTCCTTCATCGACGAGATGAGTTTGTTTGTGGTATTATTAATGAAAATTTCTTGTACTAATTGGGTTACTTACTATTAATATGCTTGTAGTGTAGTTGTGAGCTGTAAATTTCTTAATTTGTCACTTCTTGTGTCTCTGTCTCTAGCGTTACTGTGAAGCAGAGAAAATGGAATGTGATATGCATATCCTATGCATCTCAATTTTTCTTTTTCCCTATTGCTTTAGAATATCACCGAAAGGTAGCACATTCAGAGGCCTTACGAATTGTCTGTTGGGCATTGAAGTGTCATATGTGAATGAAATTAGAAGTGAAAATCGT